GTCATCAGCATTTGTATCAACTTGTCTGAGGAATTCCCTGAGCATGCAATGCTGATCAGGAGAGGATGCCCTGAGAAAGTTAATCATTCTCATCATTGTGTTCATCACCTCAGCATACTCGTCTTGACTGAGTGGAGCACAGGACTGATTGATGAATTATGCAATGTAAGAGATGAGCTCAGGATTTTTACACATTCATTCTTGACATGGCTCCTCTCTCTCTCCCTTCCATGGCAGGGGCTCCATCTGTGGTTATTGAAACCATTTGATTCACTCTATTTCCCTCTCTACTGGTCTGAAGGACTATAACACCTAACAGATCTTCACAGAACTCTTCTCCTTGTTGAAGAACCTTACATAAACTAATAGCTGAGCATTGTCAGATACTTCAGTGGACTCATCTACAGCTATGCCTATGCAGGGTGCCTTATGAATTACCTTGTCCAGCTATGCTAGCACACCCTGGGTTAATATTTCAATTTTCTTTGTGGCTGATGTTGACATTGGTGTTTGCTTGTTCTTTTTTTTCACAAAGCTCTTCTCATTGTTTCCCCTCAAATAAGGTTTCATCTACTGCACTCATGCATGCCTTGACAGCCCCTCCATCAGTCAATGTTTGTTTTTTTATGTTTACCTACAATCCAAGCAACATTAAGGGAACATTTGTTAGCACATTGTGGTGCAGTGAATGAATGGGTTAGGATTCTGGTGTATTGATCATATTGGGCTCTTAGTTTATTTATTTTCTCTGCTTAAGCTTGGATTTGAGTAGGTTTGTTTTCCTTAAAAGATTTGTACTTTGTCTCGCAGTGGTGCTTCCCATTGCTGCTTTTAAAAACATGTTATGTTATGTTTCTTAACCGGAACAACCAGCAAGGAGAATGTTACAGCGAGCGGCCATGTTTAGTGACTAATGTTAGACTACTTACATGTGTCAAATGATAAGCCATGTTTGAGGTCATGCATGATAGGCAAATGTTTGCCTTCACAGTTTGCATGTCACTGTCTTGAGGTCGTCCTTTACCCTCTCAAAATGATCCCATACTGGATTTCCTGCCGAACCTATTTAAATACTGTAAGACTGTTATGAATTTAGTATGTTTGATAGTAGGTAGTGTGTTCCCTAACAGTTGCTGTAAGGCTGCTGTAAAGCTGCCGTAAGGCAGGAGTTGTTGGCATTCCCGCTTGTCACACGTGTGTTCAGAAAATAAAGAAGTTGTAGCTGATGTTCGTTATACTACATCTCAATTTTCCATTTTTTATTTTATTACTAAATATGGCCAATTTGTCGAACCCAAGACACTTGGTTACATTACTTTCCCTATACTTACAGCTGTATAGGGACAGTATCTTCCCTGTGACCAATCAACTAATAAAAACTTCTAAACTTCTCATTCACTAACGTTTGGTCAACTATGAGAGGGAAGCCCTACAATGCAATTGGCTGAGCAGCATCATGATGATTTGCAATGCATGCAATTGGTCTGTGAGTTTCCTGGGCTGCTAAACCAGTACCGTAAAGGCCAGAAAAGCTGACGCTCTCACCAAAATTGAATAATTCTCAACAATATAGCAGTTAAAGGTCCAGGTTCGGACCGGACAGCGTCCGCATGGTCCGCCTATGAGTGCCTTTGCTCCACTGGATCTGCTTTGTGGCACACAGAGCTATCATTTAATTAGCACCATATGATATTATGCTTTGTTTCTCGACGAGAGCTAAATTGTTTTGTAGCTTCATTGACTAGTCGATTTGAAATTTAATCAATTTGTTGCTTTTCTTTTGTAGTTTTTTTTGTAGTTTTCTTTCATTGTTTCTGTTTTTGTTTGTAAACTGTATCTTTGGGATTTAGACTATTGAGAGGACAAACAAGCACTTTGAATGCCACAGGCTGAATTCTGGCGATTTTCTAATATTTTATAGACAAAGCGATAATTGATTCGTTAAGCGATAATTGGCTGAATAACCCGTAACGATAATAATAGTTAGTTGCAGCCCAGTTTTTTATAGATGGACTTTCTATAGACAGTTTATTCTACCACATATACTGATTTATACTTACTTGCTTTTCTAATTCAAGCTACTGTGATGGAGGCTACATTTTACTTTCAGTAGGTTTACAAGAATGTGAGCTGTCACTCTGTCTCACAGATGACTTTTCCAACATCATATCCCTTATTTATACACGTATGCTGAGGTCAAACCTGGGAGTTCAGTTTGCATTATGACTACACAATTTAAATCCCTGTTAATCATAAAAATACTGTAGCATTTTAATAACTTGTTCTGTTTTTCCATGATATAATTTCTCTGTGGGGCTCTGTATATGAAAAACTCATTAAAATTCAACTATTGTAACACACTGAGAGTCTACTGATGCATACAAAACGGTTTCAGGGTGTAGTGATGCCATGTAAACATTTGATTGCTCTATTCTTGATTTTGTTCTACAATATTCTCTTACACACATGGTTTTCCAGTTGCATCCCTTATGCTCTGTTTAAAATAGACGGTTTGCTGTGATTCTACCAAAATGAGAAGAAAGGAAAACATACCTTTTATCCAGGTTTACATTTGAACAAACTACCTCTGTGGCTTCTTTTAAGTTGTTGCCAGTTCCATATTTGACCACATGTCAGTCACTGCAGATGAAGTGGCTAACACCTTGTCACACACAGCATGAAGTAATCGTGTTTGTGGTGTGTTTGCCACTGTCAGCTGAGGCATTAGAGCCTTAGCCTGGAGCTGAGAACACTGCTTACTGAGAATTTCCCATCAGCCCTTCATACCTTCTCCTTTGACATGTCCCTGCTCTTGTCCTGTCCTTGTTCATTGACACACCGACATTTGACATGTCTCTGGCATGCACATGCTTGTCTGCCAGCCTCCAGTCGTCTATCTCTGTGCTCCTGCAGATAGTTTTTTCTCACTGAAGCCATGCTGCTCTAAACTGGGATCTGTCTGCTTTCAGTTGACTGTTGCACATTTTCTGCCAGATCTAATTTGTCCTCTTTTTGTCTCCATCATCATGATCACTGTCTTCGGTGCCATTTCTATTTCCTGTGCTCCTCACTGTCTGTGATGGTGAAGACAGCAGCAGCTTTAAAACGGGATGCTTGTCACTGTGGTATCTTGTTGAGTGTTTAGCAGTCCTTTTTGGGTATCTGTCAAGTCAGATGTCCAGAGCAGCAATATAACACTGTGAGGCCCTACAAGTTTACAGTCCTATTTTCAAAGTGCGATACATTTTTAATTATCTCAGCTATATTGTCACTTCATTTTTCCCCTCCGTAGAACATCTGTCTTTGGAGATATGTTGCGCTATAACAGAAAATTGTATCTACATTTAGTCTGATTTGATTTTTCAGAATATCCTTCTTTTTTCCTTTTCTCCTAACTGGGTGCAGGCACAATTAAAGCAAAGCAGTGCAGGTACACCAGTGAGGAAATTGGTGCCACTGAAGAGAATTGCTCACATTTGTCAGTAGGAATGGGAAACTGGCAGCTTGTGTATTGCTCAGGCCACAGCCTGAACAGTTAATGGGGATATTTTCAATTAGTCATGCCTCCAGGAGCAAGGCATGCTCTCCCTGTATTTACAACCCGACCTCCCCATTGTGCGCCACTTTGCCTTGTGGCCAACAGATTAGTAAGCTCTATTGATCTTTGTGACCATTTTAAACTGTTATTTTCTTTCCCCACAACTGCATTTTACCTCCACCCATCTTTCTTCTCCTTCTACCCTGCCTTTCCTCTTCCTCTTCCCATTGTCTTCCCTGAATTACCGGGGACATTGGGCAGAAATGGGTTTCTGATATCACAGTAACAGCCCTGACCCTGGCCAGCTCATCTGTCCCTTTGTGGTTGATTCATTTCACAAGCCTCTCAGCCTGCCTTGCTCTCAGCTGAGCCACCCTGCTTTGACAAACACAAATGGATGCTCTGCCTGGAACAAGATTTTTTTTCCTTTTTTAAGCTAACTGTTAATTGGATAGCCTGCAGTCTGTTGACAGCCATGTGAAGAGCAGGGTATTGTGCCTCCTGTTTCAGTTCAGATGTATTAAAATTAATAGTGCTGCAGTCCGAAAGTGGGCATCTGCATACCAACGATCCAAATCTCTCAAGTGGAAATACAGCTATCTTAAACTTATGTTTTTCAAGTTAATGTGGTGATGCACTGTAGAATTTACTTACTTACTCCACCAATTTCACACACTAAAGTCTGTTTCCAGGTGGGTGCACAACTGTATATAGAAAAAAGTTGCAGAGGGAACTGCACAAAATCTGAATTATCTCATCAGTCTTTTGGGGCTGAAGGCTAGAAGTTTGTACATGAATAAAAATGTGTGTAGAGTTAGAAAGAACTGATCTTACCAGACCTCCTTGAGGCCAGCGGCCTGAGGCTACATTAGTTGCTGTGGGCATGACACACTCAAATCTGTGACGGAGCTTTTGGCAGTCCAGTTGCATAGTGAGTAATGTAGGTGCCAGGTTTTGACAAGAAAGAAGTATACATGGAATAAAAAGAATTGATATTTAGATTAAAAAAAAACTGTCTTTCGTGAGTCGAATGCTAAATTGGTGGAGTACTCTTAACTATATAGAGCTGAAATGAGAAGTTGATTAATAGATTAGTCAATTGACAGAAAATTAATTGGTAGCCATTTAAATGAAAAAAGGCCAAATATTCAATTGTTTTCCTCTTGTGAATATTTTTTGTTAGATTCTGCCCTCTTTGATATCAAACTTAATACCTTGGCTTTGGGCTGTTAGTCAGACAAAATAAACAATATAAATATGACAACTAGGGTGTTGGGAAATTGTGATGCAATTTTTTTCATTTGTTGTATTTATTATACATCAAACAGTTAATCGAGGAAGTTATCAACAGATGAATCAGTAATGAATATATTTGTTGTTACTTCCCATCTTAAAGGTATACTCAATTGACTGTGACTGGCTTCAAATCAGTCGTAACTGGTATTCACTTTATTTCACACAGGTATGACAAGGAGGGCCATGCCATGGATGGACAGTCTCTGACAGAGTTGAAAGGTGGCAGTGGGGGAGGAAACACCAACTGGAAGGCTCTATCTGACGTTAAGACCGAGCACCTGGGACATGGAGACAAGGTAGACGCATGCTCAGCTTTGCCTTGACGCACTCAAACATTAAAGATATGGTAACCTGAGACATATTGTTATTCAAGTCTCTTTGAAGATATTCAAGGACAAACTGAAAGGCTGGTGTTGAATCCCAAACAACAAATATGAACGTGCACACAGTCAAGCCGCCTTTGTTATTAAAAAGCCACAGTACACATTGCTGGTGGATGTAGTCTAGCTACAGTGTAACCTTGTCACTCCTTGCTCTGCTTTGCAAAGGTACTTTTAGTTGACAGTCAACATGATGAATCTTCATAATCATTTATTCATAAAGTCACTGCACCACCAGGTATGTGTACTTTAAATCACACCCCACAAGGGTTCCTGATTCCCCCCCATGCTCATTAATCCCCCTGCATTGTGGGCGTCCTCTCACCTTCTTGGTGTGTGCTCTCAGTGAAAGTCACATTTATCTCTGGTATTGATTACAAAGATTATATAGGCTCTATTCTTTGCCCTTTTTAATGAAATTACTGCCCTCAGATAAGTAAAGCAATATGTGTTCTTTAATTTCCCCCCGTGGCGCTCACAGAAGTGTATGACTTGTCTTAAGGCTGATAATGTGACCTGTGCAGAGATCTTAACTTGTGTAATTTAACATAATTTAACATGCTCTGCACATTAGTAATCATCACAGTGTGATGGAAATATCCCATCAAGACCAACACAATTAATAGATGTAAGTGATTATAATAGGGCACCAAGAGGCACAAGAACCACAATTTTGCACTGGCTGTAAAAGACAGGACTAAGATGCTGGCTGTGTGGGATGTATTGCCAATTCTGAGAAGAATTGACGGCCCATTGTTTCTTAGAAAACAAAGAGAAATGCAAAAAGACACGGATTAAACGAGTAGTAGTTATCTGTAAGCCTCAATTAAGTGAAAAATATGTTTTGGTGAATGAGTACATTCCGGTTTTTTACTTTGTGGTTTAACTGTGTGTGCTTGTCAGCCTGAGGCTATGAGTGACCCCATCCTAGTTCTGGTGCCTTCATAATTTTCTCTTCTATGACCAGCACTGCAGGACTCTCACTCGCAGATAGTAAATGGCTTATTGCTCCTCCTTATGCCTCTTTTAATGTAGCCACTTCAGCTGTTCTGTCATCTGGAGGCCTTCAATGGAGCTTAAGCAGTCACATCAGTTTTTTTTTCCTCTTAAAATCCAAACCCCAAATCCTGACTGTGGCCACTAGCCCCCTGTCAGGTGAGAGGCTTCTCCTGGCATCAGCTCCCTGCTGTTCAGGAGGAAAGGTTTGACCCTGGGCTATGGAGGCTCTTGCTCCTCCCCAGCAAGACATATGATGAAGCCTGGTACTGACAAAGTAGCTGAGCTGAGGCTGTCCTCAACCCCTCCGAGACATCCCATACACAGGGGTGTAAGGGTCAGGCCTCTCAAGGACCCCCCCACCCCCCCTTCCACACACACATACACACACACAACCAAAGTCTGTCGCAATTAATTGTCCCTGTCGCAAAGTCTTTGTGTCATAATCTCAGGTTTCTACATTGCACCTGTGCCCTCTCTGACAGAAAGTAGTCACCCTCCTCTTGTTGGCTTGACACTGCATTTGTAAAGGCCTATGACAGAGGTGAGAAACTAACACCTCTGTCCTCTTCCCTCTGTGGAAGAGCTGGTCAGTCACACACTAATTGAAGAGCTATTTGCTTGATTAATTGAGCCTCTTTAGGAAAAGAAGCTGAGGTTGATGTACAGGCTGTTTTTGGTAAATCAAAATGGTAATTTAAAAAAGAATAGCCCGTGGCTCTGTGTATCTGAATGGGATGATTTTGTTGCTGTTATTTTGTTTGCTGATATTTACCAACTCGTAAGGGGTTTTATTTATCCAAAGTGACATGGAATATCGATGTCCTGTTTTTGAAGTTAATTGGGATCTAATGCCTTTTCTTATACTGACTTAATGGTCTGCACTTTGAGAAGACAGAGAGGAAAGAATAACAAATGTTAGAAATATTAGTACAAGTAGGCATGGTGATCTGACAATCTTATATCGTGGATGATCTTACTTTGGCATATGATCTACTTTTCAGATGAATGTTACAGATCCCGTCATTAAAAGATGCTACATTTAGACATTTAATTTTAAAACTTCAGTCGCTGCTAACCAGCCAACAGTCAACTGTTAAACAGCTAGCCCACTAACTGCAGCTAGCAAAGGCAGTTCTTGCTCTGCTCTGCGGCCTCGGCAAGCTTTGTGTAGCAGCACATGTACCAGTTCTCCACCTGATCAGAGCAAGAACCACTGTCACCAGCTGCAGTCCATGACGGTGGAGTTTCAGTCCTCCTATGGGACGAGAGAGCTGCATGTAAGCAGGGTAACCGGTGCGCGGTGGGAGCCAGGACTAGCTGGTCAGCAGCAACTGAATGACTAAACTAATCAAAACACTTACATATAGCACCTCATTAGTAAATAACAGTGGTGTCCAAAATGAATACTCCATACGAGCAGACAACAACAAACACACAGCAAGAAGTGTGATTAGTTGTGACACAATTTGTAAACAGAAGACCCCATTGTGGGTGAAGAGTAGCGGTGAGCAGACAAACATCTGAAAAAATTGGCAGAAAGACAAAACAGGAAAAACAGAATGCAGATGGTGCTTAAGATCATGGATTTAGATTCTACCCAAAAAAAGATTGTCATATGATCTTTTTGCCAGATCGCCCGCCCCTCAGTACAATTGTGTGTCTCTTGACTGTGTACATATTTTTAAAAAGCTGTTCTTGACAGTGGAAATTGGCCAGATCACTGAAATATTTTTAAAGATTCATTTTGGTTTTTCAGAATATGCCAGGTTTTCTTTTTTCCTTTCCTTTGGAGAAACTCTAATTACAGATAGTTGTTGATAGGGAGAAATTCTTATCATCGTTGGTCAAGGTATTTTTGCTGAAAGAGCGCTGGAGCCCAGGATGTCTTATGTTGAGGATGTTTATTGAAGCTTGGCCAAGGAGAAAGGAGGAATCTTCAATATAGTCTCCTGTGCATGATGTCACCTCAAAAATCTGAAGCAGGAACCCCTGTGGTTAGTCTTTATACACTTAGAAAGATTACTATAGATAGCTTACATTCCATAATTGGTCAAATATCTAAAAGGAGAGGCAAGGACGGATGTGTGAATAGACTATTGGTCCATTAACCATAAACAAAGAAGCATGATTTACACAGGTGCTGAGCGTCTCAAGGCCTGTAAGATTTAATGCAGTAGCAGTGGCACAGCAACCTAGGGCCTCACACTGACCTTTCACCCTGAGTCAGTCATTCATTAGGTAGACAAGAGAAAATTCCCTGACAGTTGTGGCCATCATAAGTTTTTTCACAGTTAACATAATTGCATTTCCATAGTGGCATTAATAATTGGTTGATGCACTTAGACATTTAGGCCCCAAGGTTGCAGGCCTGTTGCTCTGCTCCCTGATCATGAACAGGCACGTTTATCAAAGTGTGCACGGACCGAGTCTCCTCTCTTTTGTTACAGCAGACTCTGAGGTTAGTAAGACCCGAGGTCTTTGCCCAAAACAATCAGCAGTTAGGATGTGACATCAGTTGAGTGCATTAGGGCCTGCTCTGCATGAGGATGAAGAGAGGTGATGTGACTCATCTGCGAAACTCTTCATCTCTTTATTACAGCACATCCAGAGTTTCTTTCTACATTCATCTATTTCTGTCCGATGTGAAATTCATGTCACCTAGGTGTTTTTCATGCTGACTAGGAACGTTTCCTGAAGGCTGTTATGTGCAGACAGTCTCTAAAGTTTGCTTCTCCCTCACAAAAACAGCAGCTACCTCACTAGTTTGCATTTGTGTCAGAGCCATTTGGTTTCTGGTTGGGAATGTAAACAGTGCATCTTCTGCGTAAATGTTGCTTTCTGACTGTTCACATACTCTTCATGCCTCTGAAAATGTCATCTTAATGTTAATTTCATGCTAACAGTCAACATATTTAACATACAAAACATAAAGGTCGTGAGAGCATCTAGTAAGAAGAACATTTCAGTAACTTTATTTGGCACTGAACTTTTGTTTATATGGATTTTTGTTTGTTTATATTCCTTTTTAGGCTGACTACTACACCTGCATTGCTACCATTGTGTACCTGCGCAAGGAAAACTGCCTTTACCAGGCCTGCCCGAGCCAAGACTGCAACAAGAAAGTGGTAGACCAACAGAACGGCATGTTTCGCTGTGAAAAGTGTGACAAAGAGTTCCCGAACTTCAAGTACCGCCTCATCCTGTCTGTAAGTGACTCAGCAATGGGTTCCCTAAAACTTCTAACTGAATCTTTTTCAGCTGTGCCACACATGCACACAGATCTGATATGCTAATGTACATATCTTTAATCCCTCTTCTTCTCACGTAGTCCTGAACAGATGCTTCTGCTGAGGCAGGTGTCATCCTTCTTGTCCTTCTCATTGCCTTGTCTTTCTCCTGACTTACTGTTCTTATTCATCTTTCTGTCTCCCGGGACACAAGCCACTCATTTGCTGTATGGCTGAGCCCCTTGTGGTTCAACATTGCCCCAGACTGCTCTTTGAAGTTAAATTAGAGACATTTAAAACCAATTCTGCTGTTTCTGTGACACAGCGTAATGAGGACTTAATTTTAGATTGTCTTTACACTTGCGTTAGAGCTGTGTCGGGTTAATTGCTGCAGTTTTCCATACTGTGGTGTTACCTCATTTCACAGAATGTGCAGCGATGAACACAAGCTCCCTTTCTCAGCTCATTTGCAAACAAACAATTTAAAAAACAACAACCTTAAATAGAAAAATTCTTTGTCAACATCAGAGCAATTGCAGCCAGGCATCTGAAATAAGCAGCTTTTGTTGTGCAGCACTTACCAGTCGACATATTGTTATTCTTCACAAGCTGTAGCATAAGCTGCGAATTTGTCTTCACTGTATATATCACGAGTGAACCGTGACTCTGCATGTTTTGCCGGGCTTGCCAGCAGGATATAGGCTAATTAGAGGATGTAATGACTTCTTAAGAGCGGAAATGTGTTTAGTTAACAACATACCATCTTTAAGCATCCAACAACTACTCTATCAAGGAAACAACAGATCAAGACACACTTGGACAAAATTTAAACATTAATTTATACTTGTGTATGCATTACACTTTTCTTCCTATTTACTCTTTGTCTTCTGTATCTGTTTGATTTGTCAGGCCAACATTGCAGATCACGGAGACAACCAGTGGGTGACTTGCTTCCAGGAGAGTGCAGAGGCCATCTTGGGCCAGAATGCAGCTTACCTGGGGCAGCTCAAGGACTCGGTGAGACTCCCCTTCCTGAATATAATACTGGCCTCAGGAAATGGCCAGAGCAAGAGCTAGAGGCTTTGTTACTGCTAAAAATGCGTGCATGTGCACACATACACACACACACACACACGCAAGCACGCACACAATATCTTGCATAGACAAGTTTGTGTTGAAGACACCTACTGAGCTTTGTTCCTTCCAGGCATAATTACTTAGAAAATCACAGGAGTTGTGTCTGAGTGTTCAGTTATCAGACACCTACTTTATTTTGCACTTGAGACTGTGATGAAACTAACATTTGATTAAAAGAGTATGTGTACTTCTAGCATTGGAATTGAGCCAGTCATATTTTTCTCAATTTCAGAATGAAACTGCCTTCGATGAGATCTTCCAACAAGCCAATTTCAACACGTTTGTCTTCCGGAACAGAGTGAAGCTAGAAACGTATAATGTAAGTGAAAGATTAATGGTAATTAGTCTAAAATAAAATGCAAATGGGTGTGTTGTCACCGCAGCATGCGCAGTAGAGAATATGCTTGTGTGAGGAGGGAAAAAAAGATCCCCTAAACCACCATTGTTCCTTTTTGTAAGCTGAAAATTTATAGCACATAAACAGGTTATTTATGTTTTAGATGTTTTTCCTCTGATAGTTTTCCCATTCATTAACAAAACTACCTAGCTTTCATTTTGATTGACAGAAACATCTCTAAAAAAAACTCTGAGTGTTTGCCATAGAATGCTGCTCATTTTCAGTGGCTTTGTGAAGGGTGCACACACAGATTAGTCGCGGTCACTATTTCCTGTAGGCCACACAGATAGCGGTTTGTTTTGAGGGAAGCACATAAAAGAATTGATTGGGCTGGGACTCTGAGCAGGAAGTCTGGAGCCGAGCCAGAGGCTGTATCCGCCTTCAACACACAGAAGAGGCCACTGTGTCTGTCACATTCAACTCAGCATCCTAACTGCCAATGGCACTGCTACAAGCAGGTATTGGCTGCTGCCTCCAAACCCCATATTCCTTCAACAGAGACACCTGCAACCCCTCTTTCAGTTTATTTTCTCCTAAATGCAACAAGCCAACCATTGTGGCATGCTCTCACATGTTATCATGTGTACAGTGCTGTATAGGCTTGATGTGGGACAAAGCAGGTCCTTAACTGTTAATGGCACCCATCCATCCTGTTGTGTCACAGTGGGACTAAAGTGTTGACAAGAACTCTCTGACAAGGTTTATCAGAGCAGTTAAGAGAATTATACCCTCATTTATAACTGAATCAAGACCCTGCCACAGTCACATGATATAGTAGGATGTAGTTATCACCTGTGCCGTAATGCTATTACGACAGTAAAATAGACTGTTAGCGCATTAAAGGTCACCCATGCTGTACCTAATGTTAGGAAAGTAAACATCAGATTTTTAGCCATATGCATGCGCTTACTATGTTAAAGCTGACACAACATATCAATTAGTCAGTTTAGAGAAAATCAACAATTTTGATTACTGATGAACTGTTAGTCCTTTCTTAAGCAAAAACATTTCTCTGTCTTAAAATCTTAGGGTTTTGGGGGGCACCCAGTAGGGCGAGTACTGTGTGTCAAGGTTGAGTCCTAATTGCAGTGGCCTGGGTTTGAGTCTGGCCCAGGCTCATTGCTACTTGCCATTTACTCTTCCACCCCTTACTTTCCTGTCTATCTCTACTGTCTCTATAAAAATAAAACAGAAATGCCAAAAGAATAATCTTAAAAAGAAAAAAATCTTATGGATTTGGACTGTTGTTCAAACAAAACAAGCAATTTGAAGTGTCAAAATGTGTTGGGCCTTTTTTTACAATTCTGACATTTTGTAGACGAAACGATTTAAGTGATTAATTGAAAAAAGAAAATGAGATTCACAGATAAGTTGATAGTGAGAATCTCGCAGCCCTATTCAGTATATGATATATCACTAAAGCTAATAAATTGATTACTATCATTATTATATAGTATACTGTTATGTAGGAGATAATATTAATGTCGAATTAATGCTCAGGATTCATTGGACATTAGTATTCGTCAAATTAAACTATTGTGATGCATTTGTTGCTCCACATCACACTGATCCAAAACTCAAATTAACATGAAATTCTTATTAAGCAAAACTGTTGACAGAGACTACCAGTGTCCCATTAAGGATAAAGTCAAAACATTCAAGTGTGTCCAGCCATAATTAATCTCATTCTGGCACCAGAGTTCTTCAATAAATGAGCATGAAGTCTTTTTAAGGATAAATACGGGGCAGCATTGAGAGCCACACTAAATATGTCAGTTAAGCTATGTCACTTGATGTCACTTAATGTGCTTTACTTGACACTATTAAATCAAAACACTCCATGATTAATTAGTTTATTTATCAAAACAAATGTGATGTGCAGTTGGTTCATGTGGGTGTGATGCATATTGTAATTACTGTTGCACAAATCAAAATCAAAGTTGCATGTAGGCATTCAAAACAATGATATTATTTTGATCATGTGTATAGGCAATTGTGTTGGCACTCTCAATATGTCAGCAGATGAATGACTTTATTACTTTACCTGTGTTGCTCCTGTCAAAACACAGTCTTTTAAATATTACCACTCACTACTTGACTGTTTGACTGTCTTAAATCTTTAACTTGACTGGGATCAGGATTGCCTGCTTGCAGGTATAATATTCAAACTGCTGTGCTGTTATTAAGGTCTCATTGTCCCTGTAGGCTGTATCCAGACATTGTAAGTGATTTAAGTGTCTCGAAAGGGTGACACTGATGGAAAAAGGGGATATTGATACTGTGCTCCTTTCAAGGCCTTTCATTGCAGTGCTGCCCCAATCTCCACCACATTTCTGTTTCCTTTGCAAATAGCTGTGTGGTTAATATTTCTTATGCTGCCCTCATAAATCCAGTCTGTCTGACAAGATGTGACCATCACTAATTATGTGATGGAGTGTGTCACACTATTTATAGGTTGCGGTGCAAGGTGAGAGTGTGAGTGTCGAGAATAGTGAAGTGGTTCCAAACACTTGTCCCCCTGAGCACTGCTGGGTTTTTATTCCACTAAAGATCTATTGAACTTAACTAGCTTCCAAGGCTGGGAAATAACCACTGGTGTATCTCTGTGTAAAAGGATCAAATATACAGGTAACATGTAAGCTAGGGATTTAAAGAGAAAATTTGACTGATTTTTCAGTCAGTCATTAGATGCTAGTGTCTGAGTGTCTGACTGAATTTTCAGTCGACTCCTCATTCGTGCTGCTCTCTTTAAAAGGCTGTGCAGGAGCTAATTTTGCCTTGATTTGCACTTATGAAATAGTTAGTTTCTTTGGCTCTTCTTTGCTGCAAGTGTTCCTGGCAAGTTTAAAGTTGTTAGAAAAAGGTCACAGTGGAGCAAATTTATGTGTGTTGTTCCGCTTGTGCTCATGTGTATATACACCTGCAGTGATAGCTGTAGGGGGCCCAGCAGGTTGTCAAAGTGTTGATCAACACCCAACTTGGCTGTGTGATGTTGGCTGCTTATGGATTCACACACACCTTGTCTAAACTCACCCACTCGTCAACTGCAGTCAGCATTACTGTGTGTGGATATGGTGGATGTAGGATACAAGAAAAACACAGTAATAATCGTTACTCATAATTCACTATTTTTTGTCTAAGGTAAAGTGGAGGTGCTTAATTTTTAGTAGCTTGAGAGTCTATAACTGTTATTCCCACATTTTGATGTTTGGGGAAGAAAACCCTGCTTTTATTCTATTAAAGATTAAAACCAACTTAGTTTACAGGAATCTGTTAAGAAAATTATCATATTAGCAATTTGAGAGATTGTAGTGACATCTGTAATATTTAATTCATTTGGTTTGTGATTTAAAAATGTTCTGGAGATGTTTTATTTCCATAGTGCACATATTTAATTTCAAGGCTTGCACAACATTGATCAGAAAGGAGAATAGATTTGTTTTTAGCATGGCACTGTATACCCTTGTTGAACTTATGGTTAGACTTGATTAAACTAAAAAAACATATCAATGTTTGGAATAACATTGCAACATCGACTTTATTGCACTGTGTAAATGTAGCTGGCCAGACAGTGGCATAAAGGTCTCAACTAGGGCTTCACCCTCAAAGTTATTAAATTATTTTTTAAATGAAAGAGTTATTACAAAAGAAACGTCTGCACTGATGATGACATTCGAGTCTCAGAGCTAAGCATCTGTGTTTCTGAAAGATAAATCCCCAGTGACCTTTTAGAAACCCAGACAGTCATTTAACAGCACTTAAATGTGCCCTGTGGTGTTTTCCTGTAAACAAAGTTTCTGCTTACATTCAGTGTTACTCACCAATATGCCCTGCATGCATCCTTGAGACCTGACAAACATGATGAATGCATTTTAATTTCTTACATTTGGGAAAACTGATTGCTTTAAAATATTCCAAGTCATACAATATTGGTATCGGTTTGCTAGCTTGCCATCCTCTTCTTGCCTTTGGTGCTTTGCTGCATTACGAACTCCACAGGTGACCTTTAACCACTGTAGCGAAGATATTTCCCTAATCCTCAAAGGCTCTTCTATCCATACGTGTCCCTTCTACTGGAAGTATTTAGCCTGTTTCCTATGTTGCAAGCATTTCCTCACTTTTGTCAAGAGGTGGCCAGAGGAAACATTTGTTATGTACAATACGATGTACTGTTTAAGTAGCAGGTTTGTTAAACTATATTGATGTGACAGTTGATTCTTGTTCATTCTAATATGTCAAACTATGATGATGTAATTCTCCATTATTTCATATTTTTGTGTTTAACATGTCCATATTTCTCTTGCATCATACAATACAAACAGGAGAAGTGGCTATAGAGCAGGTTATTCTTTAGAATGTGGGCACTAGGAATATGATTTACATTTCACCCACTTCAGCAGCGGAGGATTAATGGAGACAAAATGAGTGTAACCTCTTTTTAAATGCAGAAAATAATGGCTCTGGTAGAAATGACCTTCCCCTGTCTAGACAGCTGTAGAGATGGTTATGGCTTTAAAAGCTGTCTCTTTTAATTTGAATGCCAACACAATTCAGATCTCAAGGCAAAACATCTCACATGAACCCACTTTGTCATAGGAGAAGGGAAGATGTCTGCATCTGTTGCCAGCTGATTATTAATATATTGCACATGATTTTTTTAAATATATTTATTTATTATAAGGTCTGATGTGTTTTTTTTCTTTTTTTTTTTTTTTTTACATTTTGTAGCTTATAGGATACCTTCCTGACATAGAGGAACTACCATGAAAGAAAATCAGAAATTGGAATTGGCAGGTCAGATTTAAAAAAAAAAAAAAAAAAAAAAAAAAAAAAAAAATCAGAATCAGCCAAGAAAATTGCAAATCTGGTGCATCTCTACAGGAGTGAATTGTGGGAACAGCAATCAGATAAACTTGTTCTCGGCTCTCAAAGTTTGATGTCATCAAATAACAGTAGGCTGACATTAACTCATGCCTGTAAAGCGAGTGAAATACAACTTTTTATTACCTTTGATAAATGCCAACGGAGTATATACGTATACTGTGAAAGAAGTTAATTAATGTCAAACCAATTACTATTGTTGTTTTCTCGTACAGGATGAATCCAGGATCAAGGCAACAGTGATGGATGTGAAGTCTGTTGACCACAAGGATTACAGCAAGAGGTTGATCATGAACATAAGGAAACTGGCTGCCCAGTAGGAACCTGCAATCTATGCCAAGTCTTCTGGTTTTGCTTTCTTTTTCAGGCTTTCCTTTGTTTCTGTACTGTACAGCCAATAAAAAGCTCTAAGTGTATTACAGATTTTTGCTTATAAAGTATCTGTGTTAAGTCATTGTTTTACCTCCCTTGTAAATGACTGATCCTCAAAGGTACTAGTGGAGTACTAATGGAGTGAATGTTCACCTTTCTTTTGTGAAATAATGATTGGTGGCCTGGTTCTGGAAGCTGTCTTTTCTGGTGAACATATTAGACAAGGATTTTTTTTCTTTCTTTCTATGTGGCAAAGCAGAGCAGAGTGGGTCAGTAAGCCACAAAATAAATGATCACTGTCTGTCTTAAGTCAGTCAGTTGTTCCTGCATATACTGTGGTCATGTGGGAGTGGTGCTTGCTTTCAGCAGACGACCAGCACAGTAGCTAGCCCTCTTTTCACCCTCTGACGTGCACTGAAAATGGCTCAGCTGGACCTGCACATCCCTGATAAGACGGTTTACTCTCCCACTCTTTTTTGCTCTGTCTCTCACATACTTGCAAACATAAGCACATATACACATGCACAGTGCAAACCAAAGGGGAAATGTACTGTGTTATATTTAAGTAGATAGAAGGTGTATTTTCAATGCCTGTAACTGTTTTGTGAATTCTGTAGTTATTTTTTTCATGAAGATTAATTGTGAGAATAAAGGTGTTTGTAGCCAAGTTATTGTCTGTTTAACAGTGGATACTTGGCTCTCTGTCAGAAATGTGTAACAGTAATGCAGAAATCTGTTTGGCTTGCAGCACCTGATCCTCGCCCGTACCTATTAAAAGCAAACAAAAACATGGTGGCCATTTTGTTTTTAGGAGTTACACTACGTTTAGGGGATTTATTTAAGGACTGGCACACAATGCCCTCTGTCTCCTCAGGGTTTGCTCAGATGTGCAACAAATTCCCCTGCAAAGTTACCTTTCATGTTGTATTAAAGCAGAACATCAATGAGGTTGCACCTCCCCGTTTTACTTATGATAACATCTGTTTTCTGCTGAGTGCTGCATTTGTTGCCTGTAGTGTGCTGAGATGGATTAGTCTTGTCTTTAATGGTAAGGAAGGCTAAGTTTTTCTTGTTTATTTTTAGTTTGCCAGCCATGTTTGGAGATACTGATTGGAGTTTGCCTGAGATCGCCCTACATCTCAGCCGTACATCTGACTGTGCTTCCTTTTAAGTCTTCTAAATGTTCCAATACACATACATCTTTTATAACACCACAAGCCAGATGCTGTGGTAGATGGTGTCAAAGCCTGCCAGTAATACCAAACCCCACTCCTGCCTCAAACTCCCAGTTAATCATACAATAACAACAGATGATAAGACCTAGTAGCTCTTTGGCCATCTGAACTGAAATGTTTTACTTATGTACATAGAACTGCTGAGAAAAGGTTTGTACTGGCCAAGGTAAATCTAACAGTCTCCCCTGGGACTCAGGTCCAGTGAGGACCAGTCTGCCTTTATTTACACCTGGCATCCCATAGTCTTTTATATGAAACAGGAAAATTAACTGTTCAAGCCTCAGCTAAAGGGAAGTCACTTAATAATGCAATACTCACAGCTGTTTTCAAGTTCTGATTAAGCTGATTACACAGTTCCAGTTGAGTAAGGAAAAAATAGATTGTGATGCATTTATAATTGATTTAGCATTTGTTAAAATGAGACTGGCTGACTAACTGGACTGAATTACATTTGTTACCCAGGAATAGTTTGCTGTTTGTTTTATTAGCAGTAGATGAGCATGGCTAAATGAAATTGTCACACAACATGGTCAGAATTAAAAATGTGATTATAATTTGTGAGATGAAGCTCTGCCTGGGTCATCGGACTGTTTCCATCCTATCACCATCTAGACTATACTGAAAAATACTAAAAAAACATCTTTAGTTAAAAGCACCTCTAATAAAAGTTTAGACCAAATATATTAATTTATGGTTGTCAGATGACCAAAGACTTGTATTGAATGTCAACAATCAATAGGAATCAAAGGGATAACTGCACTATAACATTTTCCCATTATTAAATGTGAGACACCAGTAAACACAAGTTAAATTGTGGCATTAAAACTTTGACATGTCTACACTAAATATTTGTCATGCAGTAATTAAGAAGTTTGACTAGAAAACCCCTTTCTTTTTGGAGTCTGAACAATGCAGGCAGTGAGAAGCTTAACTTGTTTTTGTTGTTTTGTAATACGAATAATCTTTTTCTCTCTCTCTCACTGTTTCTGGTAGGTAGTTAGTTTAATTTTAACATCTTACTGTTTTACATGCTATGAATTAGGTGATAACTCACAATATGATGACCCTGACTGGTTGGAGTCAGAATGTTGATGACCTGCTGCATCTTGTAAAACATTTTTCATTGGGATATGGACTTTTAGATTTGTATAGTCTGTTTAGTCAGTGTAATTTGCAGAATTTACAAGGTTATTTTTTCTTCAGAGAATCGCTGCCTCAGTGTGGTTGTAGGGGGCAACTTCTCTTTGTAGGGTCACCAAGGTGAACTGATCCCAGACAAAGAGTTTGACAAAGAGTGATTCAAGGACCTACATGGATCCCTGACCAATCAAATCCACTGCAATGACGAACTTAAAAACACGGACAACAAATCCTGGTTCACTGGGTGTTGATGGATTTTAGTTTGTAGCTATTGGTCTAACTTGGAGCATATTCCTAATGAAAGTATTGTTTTATCAATTTACCAATAAACTGAAAACCTGGCGTAGCCTAAGTTAGTTTTATTCCAGCACAAGAGTTATCATTGGTTTCTAGGTCACTGTGTGTATGTGGATCTTGGAGGTTGTTGTACATACACACACAACCACAATTTATCTTCTTTAACTTATTTATCGACCATACATGATGCTTTAAAAATGTATCCTGTCATGTGACACCTGTGACTAGGATTTTGGCATTTCCAGTGCTATTTCCGTTTATGCCAAAGGCTATATAAAAAGGGTTATGCTGTGGCGGGGCCCTTTTGATTTTTAAGGTTGTAGCTATTGGCTGTTGGATTTGGTGGGCGGGCTGTTTCAGGTGTGTGAATGGCTACAAAGCATGTTCGTGAACAGGTGGTAAGATTTTGGCCGCGTGATGGGAGCTACTCTGAAGACTGAAGCCAACTCTTTCTGTTTCTTTTATCTCTAAAATGAACTCATGTCAAGCCGAGGACTCACCAAAGAAGCTGGAACAGTCGACGGCCATGGATGTATTATGTCTACAGCTAAGAAAAGACCGAGAGCGACAGGTTCACGTCGAGCCGGAAGTGGAGGTAAGCCCGTTTCTTTACCAGTCTAACGCCTAACGAAAGTATTTTACGTTCGCTGAAGGCCTATGAGGGTCATGAGGCTGTAGTTGTCTGTGCTGTGGAAGTCTGTGTGAATGAAATGATGCACAAGGCAGTAAATGATGCTGATGTGGGGGATGCAGATCCTATTAAGCATTGAATTTGGTTTCCACCCCAGAAGAAGGTGGTAGTTTAGGTAGGGGTAGAGTGCATGTTGCAGATCCAGTGACTGATCCATCTGATGGTGCCTGGAGCTCTTCTGTAGTCTCAGCAGGGCTCAGCAGGGGAAAACTGATAGATTGTGTGTGGATTTTAGGAAGGTCAACAATGTAACCAAAAGATGCTGTTCCACTCCCTTGCTTAGAGGATTGTATTGACGAGGTTTGCTAGGCTAAGTTTGTCCAAGGTTCATCTGCTGAAAGGCTTCTTTCAGGTTCCACTGACCAAACATGCAAGGTGGATATCTGCTTTTGTCATTCATGAGGTCTACTTCATTTTAAGGTTGTTCCTTTTGGTGTGAAGAATTAACCAACAACCTTGCAATGGTTAATAAAACACTGTTAGCAATGGATTGCAGAATTCTGTTACTGACCATGACGATGTTGTGAACCTGTAGCAAGTCCACGTTGTGCAAATTAGGGCTTTGTTTGACTGGCGGAGTCTGGTCTGATGGTGAGCCTGTCTAAATTTGTCAAAAGACAGGAGACTTACCAGGGCCATCTTGTTGGTGGTAGGGATGTGCTACTGAGTGCTGCAAAAGTCCTGTCAATCCTTGAATTTCCTGTCCCTCCTACTTGCACACAGCTAATGAGGATGTTGGGTAGGCTATGTGTGGCTTTTATTGTTGCATTACTGAACTTTGCCTCTGTGGCTGCCTCTTGACAAATTTTCTGTAGAAGAATGTGACGTGGGTTTGTACAGATAAACATTTAGAGGCATTAATGCAGGTAAAAGCTGCCCTGTTGAAAGCTCCTGATTTCAAAGGATTGCTTGTCTAGCGTGCCCTAAACTAATCAGGTCTTCAATGCTTGGGCCACTTGAATTTCTGTGGCTGGTCCCATATATTTGGTTAAAAAATGATTCTGACATTTGAATAATTTTCCCAAAAATGGTGATGTTAGAGGCTGCCATGACCATACCAGGTTATGACCAATCAGCACGAGTCCTGCAGCAAACACAGAGTAAAGGTTATCGACTTGATCAAGAACCTTTTAAAGCAAATGCACCACTGGCATCGGTTTGACCAGTATGAGTTTTATTGCTGCTGAAACTTATTCTAAGCATACTATACTTGATAAACCAAATGCATTGCTGCTGAAGTATCAGTAAGAGATGCCAGCCTGTTGAGCCATTGATTGCTATGTTGGTTTGCTCATCTGTTTTACTCAGGTGTTTATGGGTTTGACATTTTCTGTCTCAGTGTGGGAAAATATCATTTGTAAGTTTACACATCTGCCAATTGCCCATAAGATTGAACACATAACGCACATTGTAATTCTTGACGGCTCCTGGTCCGTCACCCTGTTCGGCTTCCTCTCCAGATGTGTTGATCTTTAGCTTTGGTCTTCAGCTTTGGTCTTTTCGAGATCAAATGCTGTGTGGTTATAGACACCTTCCATTTTAATCAACTGCTTTTCACATTGGCATTCTGCTTCACATAATGACAGGTTTCTTTTCCTTCTCTGTTTTTTAAAAAAAAAAAAAAAAAAAAAAAAAGTTTAATTTTTAAACTCATTCTCAGGAGGTGTTAGAGACAACAGCTTATATATTTGTGCCAGCTGATTGCTCGATAACATAAATTAGGCTAATGATTTCACATACTTTGACACTTGAAATATTGAATATTAACACACATACTGTGTATCAACACTTAATGAACTATTATGACATTGTAACTACAATATCAGTTTCTTGCTGTTCTCAACAGGAAATGTTTAGTACATTTTAAGTTTGATATGCCTGTTATTTCCCATGTTGCCTAAGCAAATGTTATTGTGTGTGAGTATGTACATAATAGTACTTGTTTTACAGCATTAGAAAATTCTCCTAGTCTGAATGGTCATCTTTGTTTAAAGCACACACCACGTTAATTTGGGAATGAAGAAACTAATCCCATACAAACTGAATTTCATACATCAGTGTAATGGTGTCATTACAGACGTTTACTGTGTTGTGACAGTCTGTATTGCAGCTAACTGAATGTGGACCCAGTCCCACCAAGGGGGTTGAGTAGAACTAATTACCAGCATAGTCTTTAACATTATGAAGTCCTTGGGTACTGACAATGCATTAGCACACTGCAGGGTCTTCTTAATGCATATCTGCAAATCATCATGAGTTATTTTGATCAGAGGCAGTCGGCAGCACCTTAGCCATGGCCTTGCC